CAGGGCCGCCCGCCGCGTCAGGGAGGCGAGGCCTTCGTGCCCCGTCTCCCAAAATGTGTTTAGCACCCACAAAACAAAGTTATAGCACACGGACAAAACGATTTCCTCACTTGCGGCCTTAAAACTGTTGTGGGCTACCAGGCTGGGCCGAGGAGTGTGTAATTTTTCAGGTGTCGGCCCTGCCCTGCGTGGCGACGCCTGCCTCCCGGACTGTGTGTGGAGGGCAAACTGCTCCCTGGGATAAATGGGGCTTGGGAGGGATATCGCTGAATATATGTCCCATTTATAGTCGCTTAGCCCTGAAATGGGCAGTCTGCGTTCGTTAGCTGGTGTGTAACAGGTAGAACCGTCCTAGCTCTTGCTCTTTCCTTGATTTTTACCGAAATTTCCCCTCAAACTCGAGTAGCAGCGCTTTTTGAATACACATGGTGACCAGACTGGATCTTTTCTAAGAAATTGCAGGTGTTGCTCTGGTTCCTCTCGGTTCTTTATTCAGTGGCACGTAAGAGTCTAATAGGGCTGACGGTGGGATGAAGCGCCCAGGCTGGCAGATGCCCTCTGAAGTATGTGGCGTCTGCACCCGCTTCCTTCTTACCAGTTGCTTTGCAGAAGAGGAGCCTTTTAAGGGAAGCGCTATCTTTGTTTTACGTGAGGAATTATTGAGAACGGAGAAATTAAGGCCTTTTAAATATTTAATGGACGGCGGTTTTCTAAATTATTTAATAGCTTATTATAAAAGATGGCATAAAATGGTTTAGTAATTTATTCTTTACAGAAAGTAGCCGTAAGAAGTATTTTACAACATGTAAATATTGGGAGGAAAAGTACCCAGTTTAAAATGCTATCTTATTCCATCTGTCTAAGGAATTATACAGTGCCCATACAATTTTCAAATGGCTGTAGAACTTTGTTTCTGTTCTTTAAATGCTCCTCTGGCATAGGGAAATGCTGTTTATACCCGTTTTACCCAGGTCCAGAGACACAGACACAGACTGCTGGGACTGAGGCTCAGCATATCTGACCATTGCTTTCCCTTCAGATACCACAACAGTCTTAGAGCATCCACAAGCCCAGACTAGATATTGGCACAGGAGAGTTGTGGCCTGTAGTGAGGTCAGGGGCGACTAAGTGGCACAGCAGTTGTTCATGGCCAGCCCATGCGTAAATGCTGAGAGCGAAGCCCGTCCCCTCTTCCCTTTCCTCTTTTCTTTTTTTATGGCTTTTCTGGAGATGGAGGTGGGGGTTCAGTTGCCTCCTGGCTAGACGTCATTGTATAAAAATGAACCCTTTCTTTGTAAGATTCCTTTCCAGGGATAACTGTTCAAATCTCTGTTGTGTAAATCAACCCTGCTGCACTGAAGTAAAGGACTTCATCTGCAGAATTCCAGCTGTCGTCAGACACATTGACACCTCTGGGGAGGTGACGCTGGTTTTTATCTTGTTGAAAGTGGCGCTCGGTTTACTGCAGGTGGCTGGTGCCCACCCGTGGGAGCCCCTGCCCGCACTGGCCACGCTGCCCCGCAGAGCTCCTGGCGCAGAAGCGCAGGAGTGATTGGCTTGTTTGTGCAGCCTGCAAATAAGCAGCTCTGCTTTCCAAAGTAACGCTGTGCCCTGAGACGAGGCAGGGACCAGCAATAAACCCACCGATCACCAAATGCACACAAAACACGGTTTCGCCATGAGAAGCCTGGCATTCCTTTTACCGTTGTTAACCAGGTGAGCCTCTTCCTTCTGTTCTGATCCACCTCGTTTAGTGACATAAACCAGATGAATCTCAGGCTTAAGATCTCACTGTAGGAGTTGGCCTTTCATTCCCCTCAAACAACCCTATTTTCTTAAGGAGTATCGCTGTCTGGAAGGCATCTGAAAGCCCTGAGACACACTGGTGGCTGGATCCTCTGCTGCTTTTGCTGTATCCATTTAATTGGAATGGGTTAGAGTAATCAATACTTCCTTGTCTTTTACCAGTGTTTAACGTGTGTTTACAGCACAGGTTACACTAAAGTTAGTATAGATGCATCTACACAAGCTTTTTTTTTTTTCCTCTCTAATAAAAATTATGGAACAGATAAGCACTAAAACCTGAGTTAGTATATTGCAATATTGATTTCCACAGGAGACTCTAAGAATATATTTATCTATCTGTCTTATTATGAAATGGGTAAAAATGTACTACATAACCATTTCAGTCATTCAATATATATAGAAAAGCCTGTTTGTTTGCCTTTTCTCAATAGCCATTTTGGGCACACTGATTTTTTTAATGTGTATTTGTGAAAAAAAGGATTAATACAGGACAGTAGTGCTTTGTCTTAAGACATGTCTTTGCCCACGTTTTGATTCAAACTGCTGCGTTGTGATTTTGGCTCACTCTGAAACGCTCCACGTTGGAAAGCTAAGACAGAGTAAAATGTGATTAATTATAGATTTCTGGCTTGGTACCTCTTTAATGCCAGCAATTAATCTATTTTCTCATGGCATTCAGGACAGAAAGGAGCTGAGTGTGTTGAGCCAGGGGCTTTCCTGTCCTAAGGTTCTGAAAGGTGTCTGCCTATGTGCTTTTATGACCCCAGAGATCCTTTGTCCTTCAGCGTAGCAGTGTAATTTTCTGTTTCTTAAAAGCAAATTTCTAATTGATCAAAGGAAGAGTGAAATGAGAAGAGTGTTGGGAGGAGATGAGAGGAGGTTACGGTGCACACTCCGTAGGTGAAGACCACATTATTATTACTCTCACAAATTGCACTGTGTCGTGTTTTCAATAGCAGAAGGTCAAGTTGAGCCCAGGGATAGTAGTGAGAGAACAAATATAAACAATAAAAGCAAAGAGACTTGTATGTCTATGAAATGGAGTGTTTGAGCTCATTATTCTGCGGAACGTATGTTAGAACTGCTGCAAAAGTGTCTCCATATAGTGATTTCAAAGTGTAGCTTCTGGTATAGGTGGTCTGGGTGTGAGATGTGATGCTGGAAGCAAGTAGAGACAAAAGTGTCTGGGGGTGCTATAATGCATTGACCACACAGACACCATCCTATGGGTATGACCCTACAGACCGTCTGCTCCTGAGGCAGCCAGACCTCAAGGGCCTTGTGCAAGTCCTTCTGAAGACTGATAGATTTTCCACCTGAGATCTAATAATCTCTGGTTCAAACTATTGGAGCTTTCAAGTAATCATGTGGAAATCTGTTTGCACTATGGTGGTGTCTTAGACCTTACAGCTTTCGCAGCAGTTGGTGAGAGGGCACGTGGTTATAAGGACACAGCGAGCTGCGCACATTATGTTTGTAATTTCTAGTATAGTGAACTCTGCCTCTGGTTAATGTAGTGATATTTCAGAACTGCCTTGTCATAGTTTCTCTGTGTTCTTGGAAACAAGTGAAAAGAGCAACGTGACTGCTGCCTTTTTCTTTGGCTTGCACTGTAGATGGCACTGTGAAACAATGATTCTGGTAATGAAGATCTATTTCGCAGCACCATTCCAGACGTTAATTGCAGTGTAATATGGCTTTCTTTCTAGGTCCCCAAAGTGAAAGAAAAATTCTGAAATGCAGAAAGGCTTATTTGCTGCCTCAAATGGGAATCTGGAATAACTATGAAAAACACACTGAAATAATTGTGTTGACTGGAACAAAATTCTTGCAAAGTCCCCAAGGTAAGAGCACTTTTTATCTTTCAGATGACACTGAAGATTTGCTGTTCTGGTTAGCAACAATATCCACTTGAATCCAACAGAGAATGAAGGCTTGACATTTCTGAAAGCGGCAGCCCACTGACACTGAAGGGCTCAGCACCCCTTGCTGCATCTGTCTGCCCAATTTAATTGTTGTCCTGGCTTTTTAAAGATCCCCTCGTATTTCTTTATGTTAGCAGGCTGAAGACTTGCATCCTGTCTACCTGCAAGGCAGACTAAAATCTGCAAATACTATATCGTTTTAATGTCACTGGATGTTTTTAGCAGCCTTTCAGTTTGGACATAACTAAGGTGATGCTTTGTAGTGATACACTTATTCTAGGACTTGAATATATTTACAAAGGGGTAAGGTTACCCCATTAACCTGATGAAACCTGGGTTCACATTCCCTGTCTAACATCAAGGCCATGGCTTCAAAAGAGTTAAACTCATAATCCAGGAAAGGTTTTGAAATGAGGTCAGCACACAACCATTTCCACTGAGACCAGCTTTGCTCCTGCACTGGGAATGGTGGGAACACCTGGGTTCACTTACATGCTGAAATAGCAGCTGTTGAGCATGTGGTGCATGATTGGGGACTAAATACCTGTCCCTTCCATCAAGTCACACCAGAAAGGGCCTGGTCAGAATGTCTGACATGTGCTGTTCAATTCCAAGGGTTAAATCCTTTTCTCAGTCACACCTCAGGAAGCCTGCAGGAAGGTCCCTGTCTCCATTATGACACCCCAGAGCTGGCCTGACACCAGAGCTGGGGTCTCCACTGGTGTTTGGATCAGATTCCTGTGTTTGCATTTAGAGCAACAAGGGGATGGTATTGCAAGATGAGCAGATGTTGACTTCCTATTTAGTGGTAACTGGTGCATGAGGTGTAAGCTGTGTGTTTCTCATGGAGAGAGCAAGAAAACTAAGGTTAATTCAGCTGTCTCCTCAAGAAAATGAGGTTCAGTTACCTGGGGAAGATTTGCGTGACTAAAATCTGCAATGGTAGGTTGATTTCAGAGCTTACTGGGCAGTTTCCTTAGACTAATAGTGGGCCAACAGCAATAATAACATTTATGCTGGTTTCACAGTGACTCAATCCCATTAGCTGCAGTAGCATTATGTGGCTCAGCTGGGTGCAAGAGGTGAATTAGGTCTGTGCACATTAGCTGAAGTGTAGCTGCTCTGAATTAGCCTGGGAGTGCTCCATGGGAGGATACTTGTAGGGTAGGCAAGGACCAGTGATGTCTTTATCTTCTGGGCTTCACTCGTGCTTGCAGAAGACTCCTATATATTGCTGTAAAAGAGCCTCAGTGTGTTTCTTCCTGTACAGGTTCATTTGCATTCAGGGTGGCAACATATTGTGCTCAAAACAGAGCACCTTCTTCACACGAGGAAAGGTATCTTTTTCCCAAATAGCTCCTTAAAATATGGCTTCTCTACATAGTGTGTTGGTTGGTGGGGTTTTTTTTTTTTAACATCTGTATACAGGGTGAGTTACTCTTTAGCAGTATTAGTGTTGCTTTTCTAAAAAGTTTGTAGCCAGCCAGTAAAGTCTACAAGGAGAGCTGAAAGTGCTGGATTTTTCACCAATGTATTTGTTTTTCAAGTACAAAATAGTGTTTGTTGCTAAAGTATATTCACACAGAACAGGCTTTTGATCTCTTAATTCTTGATATTAATAAGTGCATTTGTGATTTGTTTGGGGCTTTATCAACATTCCCATTCATACACAATAGGAGAACAAAAATATTTTGTGATGTGTGAAAGGAAAATTATCCAAGTAATTTTAGGTGAGAAAACATGGGATCTGTAGATGGTTATCAGATCTAAACCGGGATCCAAGTGCTTCACCAGGCTTTCACAGTAGAGCTGTCAAAGGCATGAGGGTTTATTTATTTTAAGTATCAGTCTATTTGGCACTTGAATAATGGATTAGCTGAATAGTCTCAGGTATTTTAAAGATATACAGATAAATAAATTTTTTAGAAAATACTTGGAAAAATCCGAACTGGAATCTGCAGGGGAAGGAAGTTCCTGAGGGACTTTTTGGTGCAAATAAACATGCTTATGATAGGCTTGCCCAAATCCCAGCATGCTGATTAACTGCAGACTAACGTCTTTGCTATGAAAGCCTTATTTAGTTCAATTTATGCAAATCTATAATTTGCCTTTAATTAATTTGGTGTATTCCCACTTACAGCATTTGCTGAAAGTGTGGAATATTGTATCTAAGGGTTCAACTGCATAATGCCCATTTATGTATCACACAAGTAATAAATCACCATAACTGAGTTTAAGAAAATGATTAGATTACCTTTCTATATGATGAATAGCATAACATAAGCTATTGAGAGATTTAATTGTTGATATTTGCAGCAAAATTACTGAGGATTTGTGGTCTTAGTTCGAACACTAATATGAATAAGACCAACAACATCCGCCTTCTTTAGAACAACTGTTTTCCGAAAGGCAGTTTCTAACACCTTGGCAGATCAGGGAGTCCTCGCGTGTTTGACTGAGGTGGTGGTTTCAGGAATGTTTAGCCCTCAGCAAACTTATTGATCTCCAGGAAAGCTAGCAGACGTTGTGTGCTTGGGAGATCCATCCAATTCATGTGCACGGCTACATCGGAGTTGGTAGCTTTAGCAAGTATGTCCTGAGAAGCATTAAGTAAAAAAGACATTTTTCTGTGATGTTTCTATGATTTTTGAGGCAGGTGCAGTTTAAAAATAGTAGCACAACTTATAAAAATGTATATTTAAATGTTGGTGTGAATGGATCTTGATAAAACACAAAAAACCCAATCCCTTATCTTGGATTCATAGAAATGTATTGCACTGATGATGTGTTGTTCTAAATATGTCTGTGGGTAATACGATGTGTGGTAGCCATTGCATTGCTTCTAATTATAGAACATGATTAACAAAGAATTGATCCCAACCAAACCACAAATATAACTAATATAATTTTGTTGGTGTTGCCTTGTAATATTAGTTACTCTGCAACATCTTTTTCAGCTTTTTCTTCCCTGCATCATTTTTATGTTATTCCCTACTCGCATTGTTCTTTCACTCAACTGCTTCCTTTTCTGCCTCCAGGATGAGATTCTGTGCCAAATCAATGCTTCTATCTGACTGGCTCTTTCTGGTCTATGTGTTAATGGTCTGCTGTAAATTGTTGTCCGCCTCTAGCCACCATCCCCGGGGGCACACAGGTAGGAGCTTTTAAACTCATTATGTGCTACTGAGACCAATTAATACCACTCGCAGAATGTTAGAGTCCACTTTTTAGCAATGGATAATTGATGAGGCTGTTGACACCATGTTATAATCAGTGCAATGGGTTTAAAATACAACAAGAAAAAATGAGTTATTGTATATTTTCACTGTTTTTCTCTCATGGGTTTATGTATTGAAGCTCACCAGACAGTTTTTGGAGTGACTTCTTGACTGCTAAGACTTTGGGATTTGTTTGTGTCCTTTTGCTTTATCCTTATCCAAAGATACTCTGAAAGGTATCTTTATCTTTCTCCCTCTTAATCCAGTTGTTATCAAGAGACTTTACAAGGGTATCATTGGCTTTGGTGGGCAATAGATCAAAGCCCTCAGACTTCTGATAGCCAGTTCTTTCACTAAGTAACACGTACTGAACTGTGGTTTAGTTCAGCTGGTGGTATGCTCCTTCTTTTCCTGAGCTGAATAATGAGGCAAAGAGAAAGATGCTGAATTTAAGAGGGTGTGCTATTGTAGTAGGGTATATCTACTGGGCACAATGTAGTGTCTTATTATAAATGACAGGGATAGCTCAGAACAAGCTGGGTTGGCTTCATAAGGAGATACAAGAATGGATCTCTGAAGCAACATCTCTGTGCTAGGATCATGCAGACACATCTTGAAAGCAGAGAGAAATATAGATGTAGCAATGCTAATGCAAAGATTTCGGCGCATGTCCTAAAACTGGGTGGCTGAGTTACGTCACCTTTGATCTCAGAAGAGAAGAGAGGTAAGTTAACAAAATACCACCTGTGACCTCTGCTGTTTAGGAGAGGTTGAAAGCCTGGCTGCAACACCATGATGAGATGACTGCATTCTCGGTACTGCTTCATGCTGGCTTGGGGATTTCTGCAAGTGCTATTTGTGGTGTAGACACACTCTTAATTTAGGTGTAATGCCTTAAATCCATATGTAGTGTTCTTAGCTACGAGACAGACTCTTGTGGGTGCGGGTCTAATGTTAGCATCCACTAGCGCAGTGCTAGGAAGTGGGGATGCATTTGTTAGAGGGTCCATCCTTCAGATGAGACAACCTATTGATCTCTCTCCTGGCTTCTTCTGGTGATTGTCTAGGTAGGAGCTGAAGGCTCCTCATGTGCTTGCCAAAATCTCTTCAGTCCTGGCAAACAGGACAGACTGAGACTTGCATATAGCTGCTGTGTCTGTCTGCGTGCTCGCAGCATGTCAGCAGTGGGTGTATCCATGAGCTACACAAACCACCTCCTTGCCTCACCCCATCACCAGCTCTGCATTCCCTGGTGCTGTGGAGCACTCGTGTTTGCCGTAGAACGCAAACAGGTTATGGCGAATAACCGACTGCCGCAGTAAAAGCCTGTGAAGTGATTCCTGTGAATGTAGTGTTAGAGGGTGATCCGTATTACTGTTTTGCAGGTAGCTGTTATGGAAACTAGTTGAATCACTTCACTGAGGAAGGGGGTCTATGCACAATGACAAGTTAATTAGGCCCTCTTGACCTTTCCTGTAAACAACTGCTGCTTAGCAGAGCGTTTCAGAGCTGACTACACAGCAAAACCTGGAGAACAGCCTTCTGCAGCTTTTATCATTGAGGGAAGAGTCTTGTAAAAAGAAAGGTTTTTGTGGGGTGGTTTTTTTTTTTTGGTCTTTTAAAGATGCACTTTGCATGTGCACCTAAGGGAAATACCTGTAATAAGACAGTAGTGATCCTGTGCTGTGGGCTGGTACGATGTACACTCATTATGTGTTATGTAAATTATGACACTCTTTAACATAACGTTTCAGAATGCTTGACTGCCTACTTTTAATTGACACCAAGGGTTCTTTCCCCCTGTAACAATGAGATACTGTAAAACGCAGTCAAGCTGCTCGACTGTTACACAAATTTGCGAACAGTGCTTTCTCTGTCAGGCTAAAGAAAGGTTCTGCTCTTCATAAATAGCTTGGTCAGATTATGGAGCTCTTTTTCAAATGGACATCCTTGAAGCTGGAGCCTTCATGTGCCTCTTTAGACTACGGTGTCATATTCCTCCCCAGACATGAGCTTCTCTTCTGTGTACACTGAAGTCACCCCTATCCCACTTTATGATTCTATGTAGCAGGTGAAACAATCACCCCATTTTTGATTCTCTAGCTCCCTGTGTCTGACATGGCACCATAGAGGGCTTGGGGAGCTCTCCTCAAGGGGCCTGAGTTTCCCAGCCTCAACGTTTTTGTTTGACATAACACCTAGATTGACTTTCTAATGTATGACCAGATATGTGATGGGATCTGAAATGTGAGCAACTCAACGCCCTGTTCATCAGGAAAGCAAATAATTTAGAGCTTTTAGCATAGCCCATTTTGTGGAAAGCAAATAATTAACCTGATTTGTTTAATACAAACTAACATGTTCTTGGATGGCAATTGAGATCACATTTTTGCAGTCCATGGATGTGAACATTTTTCGAAATTAAAATGTCCTAAAGCACGTTAGTGGGCTGAACTCCAGCTTTGGGTTTGGCGAAGGCTTTGTCCTGTGGCCCTTAGTCTAGCAGTTGTAACTGCAGGTATGTACTGAGGTGGGAAATACATGCTGTTTGAGGTATCAGGTGTCTAGTCTGGGATGCTTTAGGAGGAGCTGGTTTTTAAGAACATACTGTGTCTGCTCCTGAAAATCAGTGCACTTCAAGCAATGTACTCGACTTCACTAGTCACTGTCAGAAAAAATGTTTACTTGTTAAAGCTAAGAGAATGTATTAACCAAGAGCAGACAATAGAAATTAAGATGAAAAGTGGGGATTGACTTATTTTCTTTTCAAAATACTGCCATTTTTAAGGAGCCTAATCCGGGAAAAGACAATTATTGACTTTAGTCACGTTAGACGGTGCCTGAAAGAATGACGTTCGACAGCTGTCTCTGCAATATTCAGACAGGAATGGAGACTAGATCTTTAAGGACCCAATAACCACCCTGTTTCTGAAAAGTGGAAGAGAATGCCATTGAGCAATCTCTTAGACAAAAAAGACCTTTTCACTGTGATAAAGTGTGAGACAGACCCGTTTCTTTCTTCTGTTCTGCAAAGTATCCACCACCATCAAATAACTGTTAGTGGCGAAAGAGAGCGTTCAATCTCACAAGCCAATCCTGCCATTGCTTTGAAGCAGTTTGGATCCTGAGCAGTTTGGAGGCGGCAGACTCTTTTTCATTTGAACACTGTAATTGCTTTGACTGGCAGAGTTAACTAGGCAAAAGGTAGAGGAGAACTGTTCCTTCTCATTACCATTACCTCACTGAAGATGCTGCTTATGCAGATTATTTCAGCAGGCTCCATGTACATCTGTGTGGAGAAGATGCTTCAGAATATTCATCTGGCTTTGTTGCTCTGAATTACTCTTCTGAAGAGTTTGTCGTTTGCTCTGACAATAGCTGAGGGAAGCATAAGCACCCGCCTTCCTATAGCTATTTAAAATTGGGCAGTATTTCAGGCTCTCAGAGTACCTGAGTGGTACTGATATAACTATCAATCCCATGCTGTGCTGAATGAAGCAACATATATTTAGTACCAGAAAAGATTTGTTTTCACCTCATTACTATAAATCAGGATCCTCAAATGATAAAGCATTGAAAAGGCACTTCCTCAGGTCACCTCATGTGGGGGCTGGATTTGCAGCCCATTAATTGATATAGCCAGCTGAGCAGTTTCTGTCATGAATTACCAGTGCAGATTGGTTTTTTTGAGGCTGCTGTGTTTGTTTTATGTGATGATGCTCACCTGAAATGCTGTTGGCCTCCTTCTGCTTGCTGAAGCATCTAGATTTTGGGAATGTCCATTATTATTAACATGCTCTGAATCCATATATTTAATAAACATCTGTATCTTAAAGCAGAGCCAAATTTTTTTCTCAATTGTCTTACTCAGTTCACATTTTCTTGTGATTTTAAGTGAAGACTTCAGTGGAAGCCTTAATGGTTTGCTGCTTACTGCACCCACAGGATGATGCAGATCATGGGGATAAGTCATTGTGTTTGAGTGCGCTGGGACAGCTTCATGTTTTAGCCAACTGGACGAATAAGTGGATCATGCTATTGGTTTCAGGCAGTTTGGTAACAGACTGGATTATTCCACGTCGAGTGTAGGTTTTCACAACTTCAGTGCCTTAGTGGGTAGAATCCTGTCCCCATTGGAGTCCGAGGAAAAATTCCTCCCTTACATAGGCTCCAGGACTTCATCTACTTAAGTGAAGACTGTGTGTCTGAAAAATGCAGCTTTGTATTAGAAATATTGCTACTTTCAAGGAAGGAGGGAAAAAAGAAAAGAACAACCAACCAAACAGAAAACCCCACCAAAACCAACAAAACCATGATTCTGGTTCCTCCCTTGATTTTGGGTTGGAGCATCATTCTTCCTGGTGGCATGGTTACAGTTCCAAGCCCTGCAAGGCTGCGGAAGGGACTCCAGCGCCCAGCTGCAGACAGGCACCGACTGCCCTTGCTTTCTCCTGAGGTAATTCATAATTGTGCATTTTGCTAATTAGAATTATGAGTCCTTTTGTATTTCAGTGGGTCAGACATGGTTTGTGCACAATAAGCATTAGCACTCTGTTCTGTTTAACTCCTTTTATGTCTTAATGTTTTATTCAGTGTGTTATTTATGTGTTTTATTATCCAGCTTCTAAATATAGGGTAGCTACAATATAGAGCCCTGGCTGTAATCTCTTCAAGTAAT